TAGAGCAACGCGTTACAATTTGCTGCAACGGTGTCTTATTTCGTTGTAACGATTTTAATTACAGGGTTCTAGAACATGTGGGGCCTGTCCTCCAGGATATCGTGGCGACGGTGTGAGTTGCATTTTTGTCGGTGGTTGCGCCATCAACAATGGTGGATGTCATCCATTAGCTACCTGTATCGAGAATCCATCGCTTACAAGTTCTTACGTGCTGTGCCGTTGCCCACCGGATTACGTCGGTAATGGAATGGGACCAAACGGTTGCCAATTAGCTGATGTATCACTTAATACAGCGTGTTCTAGCAACCCCTGCGTTCATGGTACATGCGTGCCAAACGGTGCAAATGGCTTCACTTGCAGATGTAACTCGGGATACTCTGGTATGTGTACTCGTATATATATATATATATATATATTGTCATGCATTTTATTGTTTTCAGGTTCGAGATGGTGGTGGTCCTTATGCCAACTTTATTGGTCAATTCTGCGGAAATTCAGTGCCATCTCCCATGATATCTACTTCAAATAAATTGTGGATTAGATTTTATACTGACGGTGTCACTGAAGGCGCCGGTGCAACAGCCACATTGAATACTATTGATCGTAAGAAATGTTATATTTACTTCATTAAAAGTCCCAACATCTCTCACCATATTGTACATAATAAAATGTATACTCGAATGCATTTTTTAAAGATAAATTTTATTGTTATAACTATAAATTTATGTCTATTTTCATTAAAATCTTTGTTAAATACTTTTAACAAATTAAAACATAAATATTACAAAGGTAAAACTTTAAAAAATTTTTATTTATATTTTACTTTATCAACCTTCTTTCTTTGACGACTTTGCTTGTGATTTTGTTGCAGCATTGTGCAGCTTAAGTACTCGATTAGTAAACGAAACAATTCATGTACTTACTTCGCCAGATTATCCAAATACACATTTAGCTGGAACGCTATGTCGTTGGACATTGCAATTTGCTGATAAATACAGCGATAGAATGCGAATCCGATTTGTAGATTTTGATTTGACGGATTCTAACAAGTGTGATGATGAATATTTAGAAATTACTGAAGAAAAGGTAAATACTGGTATAAATAATATATTTATTATCAATATTATACATATTAAAATAATTTTTTTTTACGGTTCATAATAATTATGTTTTTTAAAAATATAATGACTCTCTCTCTCTCTCTCTCTCTCTCTCTCTCTCTCTCTCTCTCTCTCTCTTTTAACAGTTAAAGATAAATACCCTTACAAATAATAAAAAATTAAATCATTATCTTTTTTTTTTAACTAACAGAAATACATAAATGAAGGCTTTGGAACAAACTTTATTTATAGTGGTGAAAGAAGCCATCCAATTACTGTCGAAATGGTAAGCTTGCATTAAGAACTAACGCTTCGCTTTGTTAAGGTCCGTCTACATATGTAAGTCGCAACACGCAGAACGCAGTTTGCAAATGCAGACGCAAGTGACGTTTCTTCTGGTACGCATTTGCAAATTCACGATACGCGGCGAGTTAGTTCAACTTTAACTTTCTGCATGTTCGATAACTGCGTCGACCATTCAGAAACTAGTAAAGCGAAAACAAGTATCATATGTCCGACGATTTCCATGTGAATGTTGGTCGAAGGTTAGACAAGTAAGCTGCATTTAATATTCATTGTCATTACAGAAAATTTATGGCACACATAACATAAATTTTCAATAATTACAGTAAATATTAGAATTTAAATCTCGGTCTGTAATGAAAAAATCAGTGGACCATTATTGGACCTTGGAAAAAACGAGGGAATTGTACGCAATAATATTGCATTATATGCTAACGGATGTTTCCATTTCTTTTCACACAAAATGTGCCACACCACGTGTGCAAAACTGGAAAAAGTTTATTATCTCGTTTGGATTAGCTGACCTATTACGATTGCGTTTGCGTGAAGCATGCTATCGATGTAGATACACGTGATTTACGACGTGCGAATGCGTGGTACGTTGCGTTCGCGTTTGCAAACTGCGTGCGTTGCGATTTATGTAGACGGGCCTTTAATAATCCGCACATTCTCTTATATATATTATATATGTAATATTTTATTTTATCTTATCTCTTTTAGGGTAGCCGGTTACCTTTTGCCTCGTACAGATATTGTGGTGGCGAATTACCACACGATTATTACAGGTACTTAAACTTAACTCTATTAGTTTATTACAATGATTTTTAAGAGTAGGATTATTTCTCAAATTGAATATTCTCTTTTACAGTTACAGCGACAAAGTCAAAATAATATTTAGATCAATGTCCAACGATCACAAAGGCTTCAAGCTGGAATACAGTACAGCGAATTGCGACCGAAATTACACGAGCGAGCAAGGACGAATCCTTCATAATGGATTTACAAGCTGCTGGCTTACAATCATCGTTCCAGCAAATCGTACCATTTCTTTGTACTTCAATCATTTCAGTATTTACGACCCAGAGCAGTGTACGCGCAACGCGCTGCAAGTACGTTCCTTTGTACTTGTTAAGAAAATCGCATTTGAGAAGACACAGAAATTATTCAATTCACTTTTGAAAACTCCAGCGACGTAAAACGCGTTTTGATACGCGTTGTAAGTTCAAGTTTTCAGATAGATTTATATGTCTCATAGGTACACGAGGGTGACTCAAGTGGACCGCTCATAACGACGCTATGCAGCATGGCAATGCCAAGCCCGATTTTCAGCACTGGCAACAAACTCACTTTGCACTCCTGGACCGAGAGTGCCAGCTCTTATCAAAGTTATGACATCATTTACACGACCACGGATGCAGGTAGGACGCGTTCGTGGCAGCGCGCACAAGTCCCCTCTCATTGCATCCGATTAATGCACGCTACCAGATGCAGAGAAATTATAACGCGCGGGAGATGATTTACGACACTGCGGCGCCTCGAGATACGCGCCACGTGAAATGTTGCGGTTTATTTTCGCGGGAGACCGCACAAAATCCGATTGCGCGATCTCGCGGTATTGCTTCAGACACCACGCGAGTGATATGACAAACGAAATGTACGCGTAGATCAGCCTCAGCATCGTTTTCATATAAAACATCTCAAAACCAAAATTGTCACAGGTCGAGGTTGCGGCGGTCGTATATTCAATTACGGTGGCAGATTCACCTCGCCATTGTATCCTCATCGTATCGCAACAATCCCTTATGCACTTGGGACGTGAGCGTACCGCAAGATTTTAAGATCATTCTTCAATTCCTTGTCTTCGACATCGGGACGAAGAAGACCTGCAGCAACAATAATCTCAAAGTTTACGACGTTGTCCCCAGCGGAGAAATTTTACATAACACATACTGCGGCGGAGTAAGTGATTTTGTAAAATAATACATTCTCGAATATCGTTATCGATAAAATCTACAATTAAAAGAACTGATTAAAGAACTTTCTTGTGAGAATTTCTGTTTGGCAAAACTACATTTTTAATAACAATAATAATAAATGTGAAATTAATTTAGTGGGCAATGCCAAGAGCTAAGAATAAACGCAGTTATCCATGCGTGTAATCAATAAATGTATTTAATTAAAGACGGTCTTACATTGAGTTCGTAAGAATTTCGCAAATTAATTATTTCGAACATTTCCGCTCCATTCGAGCCATCATTAAGTTAAACAATGGATGCAGGCATTATTCACACCAATAAGGTCTGAGTAAACAGCCACAAGAGTCTCTTTAATTTGATATTTTGAGAATACCGATTAACTATTTAATTGTGTCACTGGTGGTTGATATAGAAATTAAATTAATAAATTATAAAATTAAAATTAAAAAATAAAAAGTATATAAAATTAATTGAAGAAACTCACCAGTTACAAACTCTGATTTTATATTTTTAATTTTTCTTCAAATTTTATTTTAAATATTTCTTAAAATCTCATTTCTATGAGATATACAATATAATTGAACATTTTTATAATGTATTTAATTACATAATAATAATTAAACATATTTTAATTACACAAGTACAATTAAAGATACTTTTAATGTAGGATGATCCAGCAAGACTGGAGGCTGATACCAATCGAGTTCTCGTTAAATATACTTCGACAATGAATAATATTGGATCGGGATGGGTAATTGTATTCATGGCACAATCAACTGGTAAGCATAAACGTTTATTTTTGCATAATGAAATATTTAAATTCTTTTATAAAAACGACAAATCACACAGATGTGAGATAAGAGTTAGGTAATAATTACGAAATAATATTTACAGTGCATCCCATTGACATAATAGAAAATTTATAAGGGAGACATCAAGACTGCAAAAAGTGATGTTTTTTAAATATAAAATTTAGTGACAGATAAAATCTATGTATAATTTACTATAGATATATGAAATAAATAAATTTGTTCGCTATATATGTATATATAGAACGCATTACCTTCAAAATTTTTGTAATATCATCATTAATATATAAACATTTATTCAAAACCTTCGTAATAACATTATTATTATTAATTTATGAATATTATTATAATTCATATACATATATTATTATTAATACATGAATGTTATTATTCCGATGTTATACAATTTTTGTCTTACATAGATCATATGCCTGGATGTGCTTTTACTTATAAACAGAGACAGTAAATGACAAGTGGTATCTTTTATCCTTCAATCAACGATAACCATGTTCGAAATGACGTACGAGACATGTTCACCAGTTTGAAATGTCTCATGCAATATCATTTTAATTTATAGCTTATAATCGACTATAAATCTTGCAAAAAAAAATGATAAAACAATGAACTATATATAATGTTTATTGGAGGAAAAACGACAAACTTTTTTTATTTATAAGTATTTAATGGTAATTTCCCCAATAGAAAAATTTTGCTAAAATTATTTCACATTTTTTAGAATATTTTTTAACGAAATTTTATTATAATTTCAGAAAAATTTAATTTAATTTGAAAACATTGAACGTTTCTATTTAGTATTTTTTTTTTATCAATTGATTATCTATATGCTTCATCATGGCACCTATGTTTGTACAATGATTTCATTCTCACAGAAGGACAGATTATGTTTTTTCGCTCAATCAACTTAGTTCTTTGATATTAGAAGGTGTATCTAGGTACTTCTATGTCGTTAGTTTAAACTGAGGAATCTTCTTTAGATTCAATGCCAATTGTTTCAATTTCATTTACATTTTCTTCCTCTATAATAATATTTTCTTTCAGTTGCTCTTCCTCAGTTTCTTCTTCTTGCACAATTTCACGCTTTTTTTTATTTTTCTTACATTCCTTTGATGTTTCCTGAGCTTTATCCTTTTTTGTTTTGTCCACGATTTCTTCTTGCACGGAATCTGCAGATGTTATATCAGCTTCCTCTTCTTCTTGCACTATTTCACGCTTCTTATTTTTTTTTGTTTTCTTTGATGTTTCTTGTGATTTTTGTTTATCCTTCTTTGTCTTGTCCACAGTTTCTTCTTGACCGGAATCTGCAGATGTTATATCAGTTTCCTCTTCTTCTTGCATCACTTCACGCTTCTTTCTATTGTTCTTGCTTTTCGTCGACGTTTCCTGACCTTTCTGTTTATCCGTCTTTGTCTTGTCCAGAATTTCTTCTTGCTCGGAATCTGTAGATGTTACATCCGTTTCGACTAATTCTTCCTTTTTTTCTTTAAATTCTGTATTTTTCAATACCTCTCCCTTTTTATTTTTTTTATCGTATTTTATCTTTTTTTCGTTATTGTTAACATCTTTAACATTTTGAGAATTTTCCAATTTAGAATGCTTTTTCGTTCTCCTACTTGAAACCTCATTATTTGGATTTTTCTTTATATTTTCTACTTCCTCATTATTTTTTGATTTCTTCTTATGTTTCTCCTCTTTTAAACTTTTTTTCGATTTTTGGCTGATTTCGGATCTTTGAGAATCTTCAGATAATGTATCGGATTCTGTTAAATGCTCTTTAGCATTCTTATCTTTCTTATTTTGCGTTTCTGTTTTAATCTTATCTTTTAAATATTGTAATTTCTTTTCAATATTTCTGTTTCCTTCTTCATTCATCACTTCACCATTTTCTTCACGTCTGTTTCGCTTGTTTTTCAACTTCTGTTCTGATTTATAAGAATTTTTCGCATCTAGATAGTTTTCAGAAGGATTTTCGATGTTTCGTTCTGAGCTATTTTTCCTTTTCCTCTGCTCTTTCACATATTTGTCTTTCTTCTTTGATTGCTTATCTCTGAAAAATATTGTAATTATATAGAAATTTAATTGTATAGAAATCATCATTTATGTATAAAAAAATGCAAATTTAAAATTAATAAATTTGACAAACATTAATCCATCAAAATATTTATAGCTAATTTAAAAATAGCAGTTTATTTATTTAGGTATTTGTTTAGATTTAAATTTATGTATTTATAAATTTATTTAGAAATGATAATTTTTGCTACATTGATAAAATAAAATAAAACGCTAAACATACAGCAAGAATTTGAATAAATGTATCTCGTTCATTAGTTACTTACTTTGTACGGTGTTCTACATCGACCTTTCTCTCCTTTTTATCGCTGTTCCTTGATTCCACATCTTTATTCGATTTTTTTGCAGAAGTTTCCGCAACAAGTATTGCAATTAATAAGAATGCAGTCAATAATATCCACAATCTGCCCAGACAAATTTAATCTTTTTATTTCACATTTTTACCAGATATTTTGAAACGTACGTGATTAAAAATTAATTCTGTTTATTTTAATTTGTTTTTTTGTAAACAAGTAAGAATTGAACATTTTGTTCACAATTAAATTAGCAGCTCTAATGTACAATTAATTCACATTTCTTCGTAAAATTTAAAATGTTTTGAAGATATAGTTATGTATTGTTTCTGCAAACCTATATAAAAGATCGCCATACAAAGAGCAAGTTGAATGTCTATTTTATTTTTTAATATTTCAGGAAAAATGTTTCTTACCTCATTGTGGTAATTATTTGTATTAATTATATATTTGATCGCACTTTGATTTTCTTCGCGCACGTATCACTGTTTAGCGTAACACTGTCACTGCTCAGGTATACTTGCTCTTTATATCTCATACGTTGTCATCAAAGATAACTTGATAAATACAACGAATCTAGTACGTTTACGTCAGTGATTTTGCGAATTCGATATCACAAGTGCTATCTATGTGAAGTCTTCCGAGAAGGATGGAAAATATTTTAACGTTAACGTATGAGTAATATACGAGACTCAAATATTAGGTGTAGTAAAAAAAAGTCCATTATTTTTGTATGAAATCTATTGGAAAAATAATGGATTTCTTTTTACTACACCTAATATAAATAAAACTTTGTTTAAATTCGCATATAATCGCAGACCTGAGAGATGCTTTAAAATGCAATACTGATTGAGATGAGGTAAACATTATTTCCTCATTAGATATATTTTTATGTAACGATATAATATATCGATTGTGACTTTCGTATTACATTTAGAATTATATATCATTTATATATTTGAATCGCAGTGTGTATATCTTATTATTCTGCAGGTATCTAATCTAATATCAACAGCAAAATTGACTAACAGTGCGCAGCTTCTGACGTTAATAAGTACTCAATGTAGATGTGTAATAAACAACCTTTACGTGTTCATTTACGAGAAGCCATGATAAAATTGAAGTTAAAAAAATACCTTATGACGTCTGTGAATGGATTAATACTGATAAATTGAAGTGTCTGACAGTTTCAATATACATATACTCTTTTAACAAAAGCCATATAATTTAATACTGCTTTTTTTTAAACTTTTAATGTTAAGTTTCTAATACGATACAAAATCTTATACCTAATATAATAAGCCCCTATATGATCTCTTTCTTTTCTTATAATAAATATATGCCTTTTATTTTAAATGTCTTATCTATAAAAATTATATCGTGTTATAACTATTAAATTGTTGGAATTACTATTTTTTGTTGGAATTACTATTTTAAATAAATAATAAGAGATAATTATATACTTTTTAAAAAAAAAAATTAACGTTACGCTTTTTAAATTTTTACAATTCCAAATTTCCTACAAAATTTCTAGTAATATAATTATAATTATAGATCTCTTTATTTCCTAATTCCTGTTTTTACTAAAAATTGTATTATTGGAATTAACATTTTAAAAAATTAAATGTTATGCATAGAATTAAAATAAATGTATATGATTAAAAGAAAGAAAATATACGAATATATGTATATAGGAAAATAGTAAATGTAAAAATATTTTTAAGTAAAACATTTTTTTAAAAACTTTAGTTTTGAAAAGTAAAAATTAATTAGCAGTTTATTGACAAAAAGTAAAATACATTGTAATTTTTTCAACATTATTTTATCTAACACGATATGGCTAAAATGTGTTATTTAAAAAGAAACAAAAATAAAAAATTGTATTATTTGAACAACAAGTATTAATATAATCAAGAAACTTTTAAGCTACTTTAGCTTTTAAGATTATAAACACGAAATGTTTTTAAGTTAATTTCACTTTCATGTCATTAATTGTGAGTTCTTTTTCATATTCAAAGTATATTTTTGTAGATTCTTTTCTATTGCTTAATTTTATATGTAGTTTATAATATAAAAAATAAACTATATTTTGGTTTTTTTATGTAAATTAAACATTACTCTTGTTATGCAATTATAACACTCTTATATACTTTGCATATAAATATATATATATTTTCGAATTTTTTTCTATATAATTTGCTATAAATATAGATTATATACTGATTTATAAAGAACTTAAAAAATGGAATTAAAGAAATAGAATATTTAGAGAGTTTATTTTGCACAAATATGTCAAAACGGTTAACAAATTGATTGACGCGCGACCTTGATGTTTATTTTGTTTTTTTGGTGACACGTGCGACATATTTCCATGAAGTCACATATTGACCCGAAGTCAGCAGTGCCCCCACTTGAGCGGTAAGGATATACGAGGAGGTAGGTAACACAACGCGCATTACTCGCGTGTGATATTAAACTATTAAAGGACCCTTGAAATATTGCTCGCGATCATTGATTACGAATATTCTTATTTTCAAGACAATTACGAAGACAATTAGATTCCACAAACGAGCGGCATGCGTATTGAGATGAGATATATTATTCGTCATTCGATCATAGGCAGCAATCAAAGGAAATAAATCTAGATAGGAACGTTGAATTGCTGTTTCGCGATATCTGTAGGATCAATATAATCGTGTTTTTGCGATACGCAGATTATTTAAATTCCAAACTATTTCGCGTCGTGCCAATAGAACAGCGAATTTCGACCATTTATCTCCAACTGTGTAACCGACCGTTAAATTGACTCGCGTAGTGTTGCGTGAAGTTGGCTACGTGCCTTCCCTCTTTTGAATTCATCGGTCAGTCATTTACGAAACGCCGCAAGTGCGGAACGTAGCTTTGAATTGAGGCCCTTATTCTGTAACTTTTAACGACTTTAACGATCGTATTGTCGTTACAACTTTTTTACTATATTAGATATATATATTAGATTATACCTTTCATTTTTAGTGAACATAAGACACAAATATCTATCTTTCTTTGCACGAGTAACAAAAGACAAAGATATTTTTGTTGATTTGTGTCACTAAATGGAAAGTGTCTATTGTCATTAAAGCCTCTATACTGTAATTCTTAACAACAGGTAATGATATATCGTTATGTTGTCGTTACGCAAGTAAAAAAGTTGCGCAACAAACAATGCAACGATATTGTTTGTGTCAAGAGTTACAGAATAGAGGAGTCTAAATAAGGAGTTACGGAACAGGGTGCTGTGCAGTTTAATTAGCTGCAGTTGATTCGCCAATTTGATAATTCTCCCTTACGCAACATGAATTCGGAGTGCCGCGGTAAACTCGGAAGCTAGAATTTTACACTGCTCCTCCATTAATTCCATTCCATTAATTTACGAGACGTCGTGAACTGATAATAGCGTCATATAATGCCATATTTTATCGCGTCACTTTTCCATCGTGACACAGCGATATGCGCGTCGCGTGTTATTATCAATTTGAAAGAGTCGTACAGTACATTTATCGTATTTTGCTAATAATGTATGCCATCGTATGTAATTAACTCGCGAGTGAGTGTCGTGTGAATATCACGGTGTGAAGAAACGGACGAATTTGAGAGGAGATCGAGGCCCGGGAGATATCAGAGGCAACGGCGGAGTATAACTATGGGGTGAGTAATAATTTATGTAGACATCTCTTCATTTATCGCTATTTAATAATAGCAAATCTACAAGTTATTTTCCAAGAAAATAATATTTGTGTTATATGTTATCGATGATTTAAAGCTTAAGTTATATAGAATATCGAACATTATATCTAACTTTAGAAAATTGAATATACACATATATACACATGTGTATCGTGTAATATAATCGATTTGCAATTTAAAACGGGAATGGAGTGACTATGGTTCGAAACACAATAAAAATGCAGCAATTAATAAAACTATATATGTTCATATATTTTGAATTAAATTACATATTTGCATTGTTTAATATTTGTCAAACTCTCTCGGGGAATTTAACACTTTTTATCGCATAATACAATATTATATTATTAGTATACCTTATATAAAATGTGTATACGGTATACTATCGCTAATCTATTCCATATTTCTCGGCGCTCCTGGTCCTTGACTTTATAAAAAAAAATGCTAAAATTTCATGAATTTTACATATCAGTTATAATAAGTGAATATATATAGAAAAGGAAAAAAATTAATACGTATTATATTATTAGCGTTATTTTGTTACACATTAGCTGAAAATGCTTTCATAAACGTTTTTTGAAATATATTTTATCTCAGAGATATTCCGTTTATATATGGCATATAAAATAAGGAATGAAGTAACCATGTTAAAGAGAATAGAATAAATTCTTTCTTTTTCTCTCCTTTAGTTATATTTTCTAATTTATTTAATATACTGTAGTTTCTTCGAAATAGTAGATACATTTGAGATATTTGATAAACTTTATTATTTCTAATTTCTTTAATTATTTATGATGTATCTCAAACAATAAAAATAAAAACATTTTCGTCTGTGTGTAATATTTAATTTCTATATATAAGAATATATTATACACATAAAAACATATCGTAAACATGTGCGCGTGCAAATGTTACATAGATGCAATCATATGCAAAGATTATGTACTTATAAAAATATTTGCGTACTAATTTATTTGAATTAACAGTATATAAAATATCTTACTCACGAATATCAAAATAAAATTTAAAAAATTAATCAAATTGATTTTGATGAAAGCTATTTAGTATTAAATTTACCCCACAGCACTTTTACTATTTTCTAGAATATGTGTATACACACGTGATGACTAACGAAATCGTTGCACATAATGCATTTTTAAAGATAAAAATTTTTTAAGAAATAAAATAATTGGCAATATAGTTTTTTACAACGCTCACACAAAATGTACACATTTATCAATATTTATCAATACTTGTCTTAATATATATTATATGAAATTAGGCTCTTAAAAATGTATTCGCTTTATATGATTTTCATGACGCTATGTAATAGATATTTTTTTTTGTATTCCGCACTATAATGGCAAGTTAGTATAGTTTACAATCGTAAACTTTTCGTCAGGTGTTACATAAAAATCTACACTAATTTGTAAAAACTAATATATTATATTATTAGATATATTAAGAATGCGTTTAAAAACATTATGTTAGTGCCTCCAAGTATAATTTTATCCTTGTTTAAAATTTTCAATGAATAACAAGGATCAGATGATAGCTAGAGGCACTCTAATAGTGTTTTCGAATGCAGTCTGAGAGAATTATGTTAGAATTTTATTACGAACTTTAAAATCTATACGTACCACAAGGCACTAATAGTAAAAAGTATAGGTGCCAATAAAAATAAAACCTAATTCACATGATTTTATTTAATTTTGTCAAATGAATGATAATTAAAACTGTATTCTATTTCTAGGATTGTTATAATAAAAGCTTCGTAGGTGTATATTTTAAGTATCTCTTTTTAAACTCGATAAGTACTTATTATTCTCGCATGTTTTAATTATATACAAACATATATAAAATTATCATTGCTCTGGAGCGTACGCACACAACTAAGGAAAAATAAGTAACTGTTTAGTACTTGTATGAGATCCACATTCTCATAAATCATTCTTAAGTCATTTTTCAAATAAATTACTATACAATAACTTCGGAATAAAGAATGCGATTTAAACAAGAAAAATTGGAAAATATACGTTATTAGAAAGTTTGTAAGATATTAGAAGTTTGTATTATAAGATTTCACATTGAATTTATCCTATTCGGGTAATTAAAAATATGTTATTTTCTTGAGATTGCCAATAATAAAATAAAAAGGAGATTTTACTTGAGCAATGATAATACGCAAAAACAATTGCGTGTGGTCCACATCTAAGATCCGAAGATATTATTAGCGTTGTCGAGAAAACACAGTGCAAATTACCCGATTAGGATTGCGCAGCATATGTGATACCCTACGAATGCGCTCTACTTATTATCAATCATTTCTTTGAACATTCGTGCATGATCTGTACGATAAGGTGATACACTTCCGAACATTGTTCAATTCTAAACGAAATAATTTTTTTCAAGATTCAAGTTTGGTAACCCTTTCTTTGTGTGGAGAGTACCGAACTCGATACCGAAAGTTGCCAGATAGGAAACAATCAAACTTGAACTTCGAAAATTGGAATCAAATTTTATTTTGTTTAGAATTGTACGATATTTGAAATTGTATAATCTTATATCAATGTACTATCAGTATACTACATATAATCTGTGTCAAAATGATCTGTGTCAAAATCTGATTAAAACATTTTGTCATGTACCTGAGATAATCATTTCATAAAAATATCTTTCTTCATTATACAATACCTTGACAACTATATAATTTCTTTCGTATCAACAATCAGATCTATTTACAATGAACGGTATTTGAAAATAGGTATTTTTCGTACATATATTCGACTATATTTCGCGTGTTAAAAAACTCAATATTTTACTCAATGTTTTAATATAAGGAATGGCAACAGCAAGAAAGTAAGAAATCGAAATAAAGATACATCACGCTTATTCTGACGGATTTTTTCGGCTCGGAATAATCTTACTCTTTTTCTGTGACGAATCATTTAACAGGCATTCTTCTGGAATAGATTGAGGATATTTTTGATCCGGATAATTCCATGCCTGTATGTCCGCTGTACCAAATATTTGATAGGCAATATATGTACTGCAAGATACACCCGCAGTAACAGCAAATACTCTTCTCCATGAATCGAGAGATTGCTGCAGAAAACGTAACGTTATTTTGGCTTTCCAGAAAGAGATAGAGATAGAGTAAAATAAAAGAAGAAAATATAACGCTTACGCTTTCTTGTGTGAGCAGACCAGCTGCTATAGGAGATAGGAAACTGGCGGTCATGTGAATAGTCTGCGCGAATGCTAACACTGGTCCTGAAAATAATAAACAGCGATTTATAAATTTATATTTCCATAAAATAAATATATTTATACTAAAAATACGCGCACTGACCAGCAAAATTGGGTGCAATGTCGACGACATTGGCCATTGCTCCCGCGTAGCCGGCTGTTATGAGAGTAACAGCTATAAACCACACGATTAAAACTAGAATAATATTGCAGCCTAAATATCCAATTAAGATCACAAGTATTCCAGGAACCACTTGAGCTATAAGGAAAAAAATCAATTGCTGCAATTTATCTTCCAAGTTGGTTAAGTTAAAGAAAGTCATAAATAAACTCACATAGTGCGGTAAATATCTTGCGCACACTGATTAAAGTCATGATTTGCCGCGCAACTAGGAGATCCGCAACGTAGCAGAATATAACGGAGCTTAAGTAGCTACAGATAAATGGTGCACCTGATAGGATACCATTCTAAACAAGTTAAAAACGTTTATATTGTATACATTAGTTATTATACGAGTATATCAAAAAATTTTTAAAAAGAATATTTTTAAAAAGAAAATTCTTGAATGACAAATACGTACTGCTTGTATACTGAATCCTAACACTGTCTTCATATACATCGGACCGGGAATGATAAAGATATAATGTATCCATATCCTTCCGAAGGTTGTGATACCGATTACCCATGCTGGCAAAGACGTAAGTATAGACTTCCAAGGAACGGGCAAATCCTTTAAGAGAAAAAAAATATATGTAATTACGTTCGTTCTAAGAAGATATTCTTTAAATGTGTTTTCGGTATAGCATATTAAACTTTTTTAATGTATTTTCCATTGCTTATAACTTTTTTTTATTGATAAAGATACATTTGTTTGGATCCATTATGTTTCTTAATGTTTAGCGTTTCGATTAAAAACATTTTTTTATAATATATTTTTATAATATGATATATTCATTTTTATAAAAGTTATAAGTAATTGAATTGGGTTGGGTATACCATACACTAATGTTTCCATAGTGAGATGTTTAAGAATTAACAGTCAGTTATTAATATTATGAATCACTTTACCTCGCTTGCTCCAATAACTTGATTTTTAACGCATTCCTGAATGTAACGAAGTTCCGGCTTAGATATTCGGGGATGCGAGGCAGGCGTGTCGAAGGCGCAAAGATACCAAAAGATGCACCAAACGAGACTAAGGGTGCCAGTCGTGTAGAACACAATCCTCCATCCGAAATGGGCGATGATGAACGCGCACAACGGATAGGTCAATCCAATGCCGATGCTGAACCCTGAATATAGACAACCTAGATGTTAGGAATAGCTCACCCTACGATCCGGAAGAAAGCTGAAACATGATGCTTGTCGAATGGTCTTCGTCTTGATTTGTTACGACTCATGCGTGATGATGATCGCTCTTCAGTTGAGGTGTATCGTATCTCAGCCTGTAAAGCGATTCAAGTAAAGACTTAGTATGCAGGGACGATGATAAGGCATGATGAAGCTGTTAATAGTGGGACAATGAAACTTCTATGTCTGCAAATAATAAAAGTTTAAACTCGTTCTACCTGCAAAATAAGTGTTACTCTTTTTACGCAGAGAATCACAAAAAATGTATCGTATTAAAAAATTGAAGTTATGTATACGCGTATAAGTCAAGAAGAAAATACAGATCTTTATTTCCACAATTCCTTTTGCTATGTTATTGTTATAAAATGCACACGTATAAAAATTTATATATTTTATAATATTTTTAATATCATAAAATATTATATTCAAAATGGCCCAAATAACGTTTGCTTAATGACCACTTTAAACGATTATAATTTGTGTCAGAATTTGAAATAACATTTGTTACAATTTCATACGCCATATAAATATAACGAAGGATTTTTTTTTAATTTTCGCATGATAGCCGAAAATACATATTTGCGTCTATTCTATGAACGTTATGACAGAGTACTGCCAAACTGCTGTCACATGTTCAGTGTCTCGTAAGGACTTTATATATATTATAAGTAGTACGCAAATCTTTATCGTATTTATTTAAATTTAAAAAAGTCCGGTTTGGAGCACAGTCCGATTTAGAACATTCTCCCCTATATTAAAAAATACATAGCATAAAATCAAACAGAATTCTATTCTTAAATCAGACGCAAATTATAGACCGTATAAAATGGATTTAAGGATATAAATAATATTCGATATTTTGTGTTGATAGAAATAAAAATAGGTAGTTTAGATGTAACAGTTTAGAGAGCAGAAAAAATTAATGCGCCACAGTGAATAGAACAAATACACAAAATGAAACTTGTGGTCCGTCTCTGGAAAAGTTTGAGTGAGAAAAATGATTAGATTTAGTATTAATTGCGCACGCGCGCGTACTGCAGATAAATGAATGTAGTTAAAAGATAGAATTTGTACATATAAGAAAGACAAGTATATAGAGATAATATACATGTTCGACGAATCCGGCTGATTCTACCAGCTGGAAGTATACTCGGCCTTTCTCATGCTGTTGAGCGGTCGCTGTTGAGTATACCCCTCGGTCCGGCGAATGCAACCTCGTAGAGATGAACTATTTCGGGATCATTAACAAGTGATCAATTCTGGCGCGGATCGATGGCGCAACATTAATAGAGAATTATTTTCATTTTAGCAAGAAATTTTCTTGATCCGGAATTTTGACTGAAACAATAACATGTAGTTTCTCATTCGAACTACCATATTCCATTCTGAAAGAAGCGTGCATTAGTATTCACGTGAACACAATCGAAAAAAATATGCGAGTTTCATTTTACGGCATTATATACTTGCGACTGTAATGAGGCTACGCGCATAGTTTTCGCCTAATTTTGGATCGAACGTATCGAAGTTTCACTGTAACACACGAAAATCTCTGTTAGCCGGCAACTTATAACGTACCTTGAAAGGAAGACATGAAACGTGTGCGTTCCATGGGTGGAATCCAGTGCCCGATTACGGCGTACATCGCGGGCCACGTGAGTCCCTGTTTTCAACAAAAAAAGATTAACATAAGTCACGAAAATCTTTCTTTGTTATCTCAATCAACAGATAAATTTAAATAATATTTAAAAGATTTGAAATATCTTTTAGCTATCTTTATTATATTCTTCAAATATTATATCTTTAAATATGACAATGAAAGTTTATTATACATATAAAGATTAATTATATATGGAATAATATGTGGAAAATTAAATAAAATGAGTTTTACATATGTTGCAGTTTATAATGTAATAAACAAAAATGTTACATACATATAAGCCCCTTAGTTACCAAATGGCATAAGGCTTATGCTTATAAGGCAAACTTATGTCACTTGTCAACTAATTGTAAGAGGCTCATATAATGCTCAAAAAATAGCTAGTTTTTGAGTTATGTGTGTCAAAATTATTCGGTAAGCACAAGTTTTACACTTTTGATATACCATAAAAACTTCATTATTGAATTTTGTAACATATTTTGTTCATCACATTATAAGCTCATTATGTGTGAAAACTAATTTATCTCATCGGAACCTAATTTTCCATATAATTAAAGCGAGATCCTTTTATTTAAGAATTAATGACTTACACTTGCAATGCCCTGTATACTACGTAACGCTATCAGAGCCCCATAATGGATTTCCGCGGCAGTTGGTATAAGTAGACTGCAGACGGCAGTGATGGCTTGAGATCCGCCGAATATAGTTTTAGTACCGAAGTACTGAGTGAGAACACCACCGAGCATTTGCGAAAGTATATAACACCAATAAAAGGAACTGAGAATGGTTGACTGAATAGTTGGACTCCACTCGAACTCACCAGCATCCTGTTCATAAGAATGAAAATATGATATTATAGTGCACTGTATGCGCAAATATTCTGTAAATTATGATAAACTTGAATTAAGAGGATTAACTTTTTCACTAGATTGAAAAATAGAAAAGGAAGGAAGGTTAAATTTACTAAGAATAAATTTACTAAGAGTTAAATTTATTAAAGATCCAAGAAAATGTTTAATAGGTATTAGTTTCAATCTTTCCTGATCACACAAATTGTGTGTTGTTTTCTTAAAAATTATGATTATGAAAAGATAAAGTAGGAAAAGATTTATAATTTTTAAGAAAATATTAATAAGTGGTATATACTTCTAATTTACAGTAAAATCTCTTTTGTTTTGCTCATTGTTTTTTTTTCCATTACTAATAGTGAAAAATGTTTAATACCTCATTAAACTTACTCGTTTGAATTACTTAAAACAGACGATGAAATTATTCTCACAGTAAAAAAAGATACAATAACATCACAATAAAATAAAGGTGACGTGCAAATGTCCGCTTTGTCACGGATTGATATCGACATATATAGATTAAAATAGTGCGATGTCTCACTCTCTGTACTACGTTTTAATTATCTCACAATGACGTCATAATTTACTGACTATTGTCTATTGTACATCTATTGTGATGTAAATGTGATGTTTTGTTATGATAGTCATAAAATTTGCTTTTATAATCACTTATTTGCTATTGAATTTTATTTTATAACTCTGTTTCGTTCTTTATGAAAAATTTTACGCTGAATAATCCTTAAAGAATTTTTCTTGGTCTTCAATACGTGGAATATATTTATATTATATTTATGTTATATATCATGATACAAAGTATTTATACCGCATTCATCATAAAGATTGCTGCGATGTTGATCTTGCTAGTTCATTATATAATAAAATATTCCGACATAAGAGCGTATTTTAACTGCTTGAAATCTGATTACAATGGAACTATGTTAAAAAATGTTTTTGAAATTCAATTCAAGGATACTTTAATAAGTATTTCGTTTTTTACACATATATATTATTTTTACAACATATATATTTATACATATATACTTTTTTAAACATATATATTATTATACATCTGCTCTTACAATTAGATGAGAGGTCCGTGCGATAGAATTAAAGAATTTCAATAAATATCTTCAAAATTTGATATACATTACAATGTATACAGGGTTTTAAGAGATTAATGTAATTTGATAAAAGAGAATTGTGTAACAAACAAAATTTTTCTTTGCGTAGATTAAAAAATTCCTTTTTTGTCAGGAACATAAAAAAAATTGTTATTTTGAGGATCTTATAGAATGACATGTGGATAAAAGAGAAAATAATGCGCTATGCATTATGTAATCGTACCTCAGGTCTGATTACAGTAGAGTTTTCTGAATACGACGTATTTGATATTGTGTAGCACTGAGATGCTACCACAGCAGTTTCATTGTTTGACGACAACTTCGCCATAGCCACCATGGCAATATTAATGTCTGTTCTCATCATGAAGGATACAAGAAATCCGGAAAACGAAAGTATGTACAGCACGACACGTGCTGGAATCATATCTGCAATCAGAGAATCAATGGAATCTGATTAGAACCGTGTAGATTGTATCGACTTTTAATAGAAAGTATAGTATTGATACGAATTGCCATTTTTTTCTTCATTTTTTAAAACAAAAACTGTTACATATATCATGCGTTAGTATGTTACAAAGAATATTACCTCCTAATTTTCGTAAGCTGCAAGGTGGTTGTTCTTTATACATATCGGATTCCTCATATCTAAAAGATTAAATTACTGCATGATGTGCATGATATTGCAGTAAAAAAGTCGTACTTTACAAATAAGATCTTTAATCTTTTTTAGCTAATGTAAGAAGGATCAAATAGTTTTTTTCAAATTCTGTAAGAATTTACATAAAAAAGGGACACGAGAAACTTCTGATGCAAATTTTTTACGCATATTTGAATATTGTGTTATGTTGCTCATGAATACGGTGGAGAGGAGAAAAAGTACAAATCATATTTAAAGTTAGGCTAAATCTGTATGTATATTATTTGGTCGTTCTTAGGTTAGAGAATAATTTAATATATGCGCGTGTTAAGCGAAAAACTATAAAAAAATGTGATAAAATAATCATAACAAGTTTCTTAAAATATGATATCGAGTACTTGTCTACTTAAAATGTTAATAAAAATAGAAAATAAACTATTTAAAATGAATACGTACAAAAATGACCGATAACGCAATTATGTGTAGGGAGTATATGAATGAAAAAAAAGAACATTTTAAATCTGGTTTTCACCTTTGAGATTCTTCCATTCCTTGCGAAGAACTTTCGCTATTTGAACAGAGTATAAAAACGAATCTGTTCTGCATAAAGATCACCTTGGACTCTGCAAAATAGAGAGAATTAACTTAATTTAATAATTATCACTTTATAAAAATGAGTTTTTCTTTTAATTTTACGTGATATGTCGGTTTATGTGAGTTTTTATTTTATTAAGTACGAAATGACGTCAGTAAGTTTGGAAGGTATTTGAACTATTACAAGATCATGATTTATGAGAAGAGAATGAAATTCCAACACGAAACTCATATCGACATTCTTGAAGTTCTTTGTAGACACCTCTGCAAAAATTTATTTATAAATATGCCACTAAGAATACGAAAAAATTTATTTAATTATAAAAAGTAATTATTCTTTTTCGGGCGGGATAATAAAATTTTTTAATTAATAAATGTCTAGTTTGCAATATTACTAAGAAACGACATAAAATAAAAATATAAAAAATATATAAAATTATAAAAATAATATCGAACATTTCGAAATTCAACATATATAGATCCTTCTTTATGACTGCACCAAGAGATCATATAAACAATATTCTCATCGTTTTAACAGTTTCCACAACAGATTATAATTTATATTAAAAATTGAAAATGACAGATCTTTAAATTTTTCTGATCTTTTATTAAAGGTTGATAACAACAAAATCATTATTGATTGGTTTCATAAAAAACTTTCTCCGATAGATATCTATCTTTTTTATCAAATCATCCTATTTCCCATAAGATTGGATAATCTCAGAAAATAGGAACAAGCATATGATAATAAAAAACTGTTTGTAGTACTTTTTATACCTAAAGTATCATATTCTGTTACCTCATTTTTTAACAAATCAGTCTTCACAATTAGCTACAGAATTTTAAATACATTAAGTTCCCTTATTAAAGTCCATAAAGACAAACTTATAAATCTCAAAACCAGAATGTCATCTATCAAATCAATTGTCAAGATTGTAATGCGTCTTATGTGGGACAAACAAAAAGACAACTCAAGACTCGTATAAATGAACATAGAAATAATATTAAACAGAGTTCCTCTAGACTCTCCGTTATTTCTGATCACAAATTAAATTATACTCATTAGGAATATTGAATCGAATATTGAAACGAATTATCATAAAAGAATTATTTCAGAAATGTTACATTAAAAAGCAAAACAAAGGTATTAACTCTCAAAAAGACACGGATAGTCTAGATGACTCTTACAATTATCTATTAAAAAAAAGTCAAATAAAACAAATAAATAAATAGTTTCCGATGCTCTAAGAGTCCGTCTGTCACTATTGTAACATTTGCGCTTAACAAAATCAGAACGAATAATGATGCTCCTGTTTTCATACATTTTGTAAGTAAAAAATTTAATTTTAATTTCCAAACAAATATAATTAATTGACGCAATTGACAATCTACATTTAAATAACTCATTTTTATTTTATTTTTTGACTATTTCATTTGATTACTTTATATTATATTGACGACAATGAATTTCTCAATTTAGACACAATTTCCACATTCACACAAAAACAGGAGAAATATTTTTCTTCAAACAAATTGTCTAGTACACTAATGCGTCCAAACGAATTCTTCGCTATAATTATATGTCATATGATAAGTGTATGTTTCATATGATAAGTATTATGACATTTTCCTTTTTACACAAAAAATTCCCCATTTAACAAAACAATTAAAAAAAGTGCATTATATTCTCGATAAGTTAAAATAAGACATAAAAGTAACACTTAATATCATTCAACTTATGTTTAAATTTTTCCATACAATAAATTGTATTTAACAAATTTCTATGCCAATTTTATATATTTCTAATAATTTTTAAATAAAATGTTTAAGTATTCCTTCTCGTGATTTAGATAAAGTATAGAAATAATTAAAGTTATATATGCATCATATACTTTCGCAAGAGCAAAACTTATCGATACGATAACGTTACAGGTTATTAAGGATAGCTTTTGAGTAAAAAAAGTATAGAATTATTTTTTCCTGGAAAAATATATTAATTGCATATTTGAAAAATTTGTGTTAAGTATTTAATACGTTTTACGTATTCCAAATCCTCCTATTCAAATTTTTATGTTATTTTAACACAACATAAATGTTTAATTAGAAAGTAACACAAATATTATGCAAAAAATTAACACAAAAATGTAAAACTGATACAATTTGTAAACTGTGGAAGTAAACTATGGAAGCATATAAAATTAACATTTTTGATATGTTATATTAACGTATTTTACTTATTATTTATTCTAGAATTTACAGTTTAAAATATATTATTTTTCATAAATTTAAAACGCTAATTTTCTCAAATCTCATAAAAATTTGTATCTTAGTGAAAAAAATGCAGAGAAGTTTTTAAAAATGTTTTTCAAAAAATTATTTTAAAGAAGAAAAAATAAAAAAGAATTTGAAACAGTTGTTTGAATTTTATATCTATGTTTTAATCCTTATTTATTTAAATTACATAAAATTTAAGTTATATTTTTTTACAATATTATTGTTACTCTTTTAAGTATTCTATCTGGATGGAACATTATCAAACAAAATTTAACAGACAAGAATTTTAAAGTAAATTTTCTAAGTTTTTGAATTTAAAATGTTTTTTGAAAAAAATTGCTGATTACTTTTCATAAAAATATCAAATTTTGTATTGTGTATTTCATTGTGTAAAAGCTTAATGCTCCGAAAATGTTTTTTTTAATTTTATGAAAGTAATATTATAAGTTCATACCCCCCAGAAAAAGGTAGAAGGAGAAAATATTGATTATAATGTACTTGATTTGCCTAATATTTTTCAAATTTTTTCGACCGATTAAAAAATTTTATAAAATTAAGTCAGAATTGTATACAATAAAAAATTTGACTATTTTGTAAAAAATTATCGTGGCAATTTTTATGAAGTATATTTTAAAGCTTAGAAATTTTAAAATGCTCGTTTGTTAAATTTTATCTATGATGTTTCATCCAGATAGATCTCTTTAAAGCATAAGAAAAATATAGAAAAAATATCAATTTTCAATTTTACGTAATTTAAAAACAAAATATTATAAAAACAAAATTTAAGCTCCTATATGCGCGCGCGCGCGCGCGTGTGTGTAAGCTCTGTTTTTTTCCTCTCTTTATAATACATTTTAAAAATATATTTAAAAAAATTTCTTTACAATTTATTTTCATCGAGATATTTAAGTTTATATGAAATGCGAGAAAATTGCAAGCGTTTTCTTTATGAAGTGTATATTATTTTCATGCTATTTATTTTTTATTCATAAATTGTACTTTTTTGATACTAAGAAATGTTGAATATAACTACATAAAATAAAACATTTAAATATTTAAATTAACAATTAGCAGTCGATATGTTAAAAATTTATCTCTAAATAATAATCTTTAATGATCAAATACTTAAGTACTTAAATAATTATATGTGAATTTATATACTACCTATGTAGTCATTTAAATTGTACGCCGAATTGAGTTTTCGGTTTTGAAATGCAAATCTCGATTAAATTACGTATAGTAGTAATATCACAAATTGAATTGTTTAGCAATTTATTGATTTGATATTCTTACGCTACTTATAAAAAAGATCCTAATAATGCTGGACAATGTATTAAAATTTGTAAATAATTTTATTGCGAAAAATATAAAATTATATATATTAAGTTAAAAATTTAACTGAAAATTTTAACAAGACTGAAATGGATTGTAACACAAATATTATATGTATTATTGTGTACACAAACTTGTCAGGAATATAGAAAGAAAAACGTACCTATAGAAAATATTAAAGTCGACACAGAAGAACGAAGTTTGACTGATAATGGAAATTAGGTCGAAAAACATACAAAGGCAAGGAATAAAATATGAAAAAGAGGGAGGGGGTAAATATATGTAAGAGGGGAATTGTAGGATGTTAGGAAAAATTACAGGAGATAAAAAGTTAAAGTACGGTTCAAACAATAATTCCTTGTTATTTTTGCTAAACTCATGTTTCTGTTTCCTTATATGCACTATTTCAAAGATTAATCATTTATTATAGCTTGATTCGTTGCTTGCAAAATCTGCAAGTCATTCCAATTGAAATCGTGGTTAGTTGCAAGACTGTAGTTGAACAGGAGAACCGTTTTTCTTTTTGACATTAATGATGCGTGTATGGACTTTAATTTTAAGTTGATGTTTTATCTGCTCAACATATGTGATATTGTAATCATGACATAAAATTGTGTTCACTACATTGAGTTGATTTAAGATATAGGCTGGTAAATCATGGTCGATTTTTATATATAAAACTATTTAATTATAGCCTTGAAATCATTAATCAAAGAGTATTATCATTAAGACAATCTTAAAATAAGAACTAATTATATACCGGCCATAGATTCCAAGACAATTTATTAACCAATTTTTATGTATTTTTTGAAGATGGGCAGAACATTTTCTAAGATAGAGTTTTGATATAAGGAACGGTGAATCGTTTCATTGATGGAACAATTACCTACCGAAAAAAGGTTTCTTGTATAAATCCAAATTAAAAATTAATTTTTGTGATGAAAAAAAATTATAAAAAGGAATAAAATGTATTTATCAACAAATATTTTAGCAAGTAATTATGCAAGAATTCATAGTTAAAAAAATAATTTTGAACATTGTGTAATTTATTCTCTATAGAATATGTCTTATTAATAGAAATATTTCAGACTAGCTTAAAAATTTTAGATTTAAGTTGCAGCTATAGTGATTTTTATTTTATTTGCATTCAGTGTTTTAAAATAGCGGATAATCCACTGAATGATAACATTAGGTTTGTTCGCATTGTTTGAAGGTCTTCAAAATTTTTGAACTTAAAAGGAAATAGATACAACATTTGGTTTGTTGAAAAAAAAGATGCTGAATGCAAACAACACGAACAGACCTTTTGTATCACGTATGATGATGAACATGCATAAAATTGAAAATATAGGTATAGGTATAAC